GTCGAGTCGGCCCCAACTCATAGCGACCCCTCCTTGGGTTTCCGAGGCAGTATCACTACAGAAGTAGGATTGCCCAACCTTCCTTCCGAGGAGTGGCTGGCGGGTTTGAACCACCAGCCGTCTGGTTAGCAGGCAAGTGTCTTAGCCACTATGCTACCAGAGCTCCCATATCATATTAGGTATTATAATTATTATAGAGATAGATGATTTATCAAGATCTATCCTTAAGTATGAGGAGCCCTGGTAGTAATAGTGATAAGCCATTTGGCTGCTAACCAAAAGATTGGTGGTTTGAACCTATCAGCCGCTCTGCAGAAGAAAGATGAGGCATTCTGCTTCAGTGAAGATTTACAGCCTTGGAAACACAGTAGGGGCTGTTATGAGTCAGAATTGACTCGATGGCAGTAAACATGGTTTGGTTTTTATCTTGAAGTACAATGCTGTCAATGATAGGATAATATCCATATTGCTACAAAGAAGACCAGTTAATACTATTATTCACATTTATGCACCAACTGCTAGAGCCAAAAACTCATTGCCATTGAGTTGATTCTGACTCATAGCTACCCTCATTGGGTTTCTGAGGTGATAAATCTTTATGGAAGTAGATTGCCCCATCCTTTAGTGGAGCAGGTAGTAGGTTTGAACCACCAGGTTTCTGGTTAGCAGTCAAATGCTTTAGGCACTGCATCACCAGAGTTCCTTACTAGAGCCAAAGATGAAGAAATTAAAGATTTTTACTAACCTCTGCAGTCTGAAATTGACCAGACATTCAGTTGAGATGCATTGATAATTACTGGTGACTGGAATGGCATAGTGAATAAGACATTTGGCTGCTAACCAGAAGGTCAGTGGTTCAAACCCACCAGCAGCTCCACAGGAGAAAGATGAAGACAAATCTACTTGACTATAGATTTATAGCCTTGGAAACCCAATGGGAGTCACTAAGTTGGAATCATCTTGATGGCAGTGGGTTTGGTTTTTTGGTTTGGTGATTGGAATGCGAAAGTTGGAAACAAAGCATCAGCTTTGGTAGTTAGAAAATATGGCCTTGGTGATAGAAATGACACTGGAGATCACATGATAGAATTTTGCAAGACCAATGACTTACTCATTGCAAACATATTTTTTCAACAACATAAATGATGACTATATATGTGGACCTCACCAGATGGAATACACAGGAATCAAATTGACTACATCTGTAGAAAGGGGTGATAGAGAAGCTCAGTATCTTCAGTCAGAACAAAGCCAGGTGGCTACTACAGAGCAAACCATCGATTACTCATATGCAAGTTTAAGTTGTGGCTGAAGAAACTTTATAAAAGTCCATGAGAGCCAAAATACAACCTTGAATGTTGAGACCATCTGAAGAATAGATTGACACAGTAAACACCAATGACTGAAGACCAGATGAGTTGTGGGATGGCATCAAGAACATCATACATGAAGAAAACAAAAGGTAATTAAAAAGACAGAAAGAAAAGTCTAAAATGGATGCCAGAAGAGACTCTGAAACTTGCTCTTGAACAGAGAGTAGCTAAAGCAAATGGAAGAAATTAGTAAAACAACTGAACAGAAGATTTCAAAGGGTAGCTTGAAAGGACAAAGTAAAGTATTATAATAAAATGGGCAGAAGACCTGGAATTAGAAAACCAAAAGGGAAGAACACACTCAGCATTTCTCAAGCTGAAAGAACTGAAGAAAAAATTCAAGCCTCAAGTTGTAATATTGAAGGATTCTATGGGCAAAATATTAAATGAGGCAGGAAGTATCAAAAGAAAATGGGAGGAATACACAGTCACTATACTGAAAGAATTAGTTGACTATTAGCCATTTCAGGAGGTAGCATGTGTTCAGGGACCAATGGTATTGAAGGAAGAAGTCCAAGCTGCACTGAAGGAATTGGCAAAAAACCAAGGCTTCAGGAATTAATGGAATACACACTGGGATGTTTCAAAAAAACAAGGCTCCAGGAATTGATGGAATACCTGTTGATGTGTTTTCAGCAAAAGGAAGCAGGGCTGAAGCTACTCACTTGTTTATGCCAAGACATTTGGAAGACAGCTACTGGCCAGCAAACTTCAAGAGATCTATATTTGTGCCCATTTCAAAGAAAGGTGATCAAACAGAATGCAGAAAGTATTGAACAATGTCATTAATATCACACACCAGTAGAATTTTGAAGATAATTCACAAAAGTTTGCAAGAATGCATAGACAGGGAACTGCAAATTCAGGCCAGACTCGGAAGAGGACATGAACAAGGGATGATATCCTTGCTGATGTCAGATGGATCTTGACTGAAAGCAAAGAGTACCAGAAGGAAGTTTATCTGTGTTTTACTGACTATGCAAAGGCATTTGACTGTGGATTATAACAAATTATGGATAATGTTGTGAAGAATGAAAATTCCAGAACACTTAATTGTGCTCACGAAGAACACGTACATAGACCAAGAGGTTGTTGTTCGAACAGAACAAAGGGATACTGCATGGTTTAAAGTCAGGAAAAGTGTGTGTCAGGG